GAAATTTGGCACAGCGTAATGAACTAGGTATAGAATGAGGTGTGCAAAGTTTCGTGAAAATCGGTTCAGATTTAAATATAGCTCCAATATATATTTTCGTCCGATTTAATGTAAATATCCACCAATGTCCCTATATATCTTTCGATTTGCACGAAATTTGGCACAGCGTAACGAATTAAGTGTAGAATGATGTGTGTTAAGTTTCGTGAAAATCGGTTCAGATTTAGATATAGCTCCTATATATATTTTCGTCCGATTTAATGTAAATAGCCCACTAATGTCTCTGGAAATCCTTTGATTTGCACGAAATTTGGCACAGCGTAATGAATAAGGTCTAGAATTATGTCTGCCAAGTTTCATGAAAATCGGTTCAGATTTTGATATAGCTCCCATATATATTTTCGTCCGATTTAATGTAACTGGTGCACCAAAGTCTCTATATATCTTTCGATTTACACGAAATTTGGCACAGCGTAATGAATTAGGTCTAGAATGATGTGTGCAAAGTTTCGTGAAAATCGGTTCTGATTTAAATATAGCTCCCATATATATTTTCGTCCGATTCAATATCCCAGAATAAAGATTTTTTAATTTTTCACACAAAAGTCAGGGTTAATTTGACCCGCTAAATATTGACCGATCTTTATCAAAACACGCATGCTTATTCTTTGGTCCGATCCCCTTTTCCATGCAAAAATTCGCGGTGTTTGGGCAATAATTGCGGTCTCTGGAGCGACCAGAAAACCCGAAAAAAATAAAGTTTTTGGTCCATTTCATCCCCTAAATATTAGGCTATCTTTTCCAAAAACAACAGGGGTCTTCATTGGCCAGAACCCATCCTACATGCAAAATTTCGTGAAGATTGGTCCATAACTGTGGCCTGTATCGTCTTTACAAGTTATAATGGACAGACGGACGGACGGACGGACGGACACACATGTCTAGATCGTCTCAGCTAGTCGAGATATGACGATCGGTATACTTAAAGGTGGGTCTAGGACCAATATTTCGCGGCGTTACAAACTTTTGCACAAAGCTATAATACCCTGACAACATAGTTGTGTAGGGTATAATAAAGTTTCCTCCCACTTTCATAATTTTAAGGTTTTAACGTATATTCCCAAGGAATAGATAGTTTTTTTCGCATTTCTGATTGCTGGTGAATAATTAAACCCCTTACCAACATAAAAAGGTCCCGATCGATTAATAAAATTTTGAATGTATAACATATGTTGGAGGATATAACAAAATTTCGCCCGGCCGAGCATTTCATATATTTTCGGTTTCACACGTACAACTGAACAACTGAATATGTGAAGAGCTTCAAATTCCTTTAAGCAGTTAGAATATCAAATCGTATCCTGAGCGTATGATTTATATATTATAAGGAAACTGTTACGTATGATTAATACCAATTAGATCAATGCGTATTATTTTCCATAAGTACGATATTGAATTATCTCAAAAATCAAATTCTTCACCCCTTCACTTCCCTATTCGATTAACATAGAATTCGGTTAAGACATCCCCATAAGTATATTTGCCTTCTTCGAAAAAAGCAAATCAAACTGATGATTATGATAGGAGTCGACAACAAAACATATCGAATGTATCATCGTCACCAATCACCAACTATTTAATCTGCATATCCAACTTCCGCTAGCATACTGGTCATTCTGTTTCACTTGATGTCACAACCATGCAGCATAACTCTCATATCCCCATATAGAAACTTCTTCTGCATGTACTTCCCCCTGTACTTTTTCTGATTCTAGCATTCTTAAATTTGTCATTTTTTTTTTCTCTGTGTTGCTGTTGTTTGTTTGTGTCGGCATCATCGTCATCATTGTTTCATTGTATTGTGGCTTCTGGTACCTCTCAAACCAAATATTATCCTTTGGGCATTTAATATGAAGTGGTTTACTATTTGAATGGAGTTCCATGTTGATGTATATGTGGGCCATTGTGTGGTGGGATGTGTGCCAATATATCTCTATCTGTGCATTTGTGTGAGGGAGGGGGTTATGTGTGGGTTCCCCTGACTGTGTCAGTGGGTTTTGTAGTTCTGTTTTGTTTTTTTTCTATCTGGGATTCTTTGTCCATTCGTTTGTTCTCCTTAGATTATATTTCCGTTTTTATGTGGCTGCAATCCTGCAATTCTCCGGCCCAAAGTGTCTGCTTGTGATGGTGGTTGTTGGCAAGTTCCTGGTTATATAGCTTCAGACTCCTTTGTCTTAACACTGATGGCTCAATGGTTGGTTGGTAATGCTGGTGATGGTGGTGTGGTGTTCCTGGCCCTGCTCCTCGGTCCTGCTGTGGCTTCGAGTGCAAATGTTTTGTTTAATTTTCAAAGTGCATCTTAATGAAGTTTTCTCCTTGCGGACATGTATTTTAAAATGAATTTTGTTTAGTTGTTGGTTCTGTTCTGTTCTGACAACTTTTAGTTCCTTCTCGTAGTTCTTTAATCGGCATCTTGAATAGAACAAAATTCATTACTACTCCCAAGAGTGGCCGAGAGTGTTGTCAGAGCCTTGTGGCCTGGTTACTAATCTTGAAATAGTTTGCATTTTATTTAGGATTTTTTCGTCTTCTTCTTTTTGAAAATTTTCCTTTTTCCTACCTTAATTGTAATAAAACAGACTAATTCGAATTTGGTTGCTAAGATGATTTTCAAGCGAATCAAAAAGAATATTTCGAAAAACTTTGTGCACAGATTGGAAATTTGCCCAGAAGGATGAAATAACATTGGCTTAGGAGACGATGACAGTGATTTATTATTTAAAAAAATCCAAGAGACTTTTTAAAGAATATTTTTTAAGGTACCAACAGCCACAAGGCGTGGATTTTTTAAAGAATATTTTTAAGGGTCCTACACAAGGCGTGGATTTTTCAAAGAATATTTTTAAGGGTCCTACACAAGGCGTGGATTTTTCAAAGAATATTTTTAAGGGTCCTACACAAGGCGTGGATTTTTCAAAGAATATTTTTAAGGGTCCTACACAAGGCGTGGATTTTTCAAAGAATATTTTTAAGGGTCCTACACAAGGCGTGGATTTTTCAAAGAATATTTTTTAAAGTACCAACAGCCACAAGGCGTGGATTTTTTAAAGAATATTTTTGGATTTTTAAAGAATATTTTAAGGTACCAACAGAATATTTTTAAAGAATATTTTTAAGGGTCCTACACAAGGCGTGGATTTTTCAAAGAATATTTTTTAAAGTACCAACAGCCACAAGGCGTGGATTTTTTAAAGAATATTTTTTAAGGTACCAACAGCCACAAGGCGTGGATTTTTTAAAGAATATTTTTTAAGGTACCAACAGCCACAAGGCGTGGATTTTTTAAAGAATATTTTTTAAGGTACCAACAGCCACAAGGCGTGGATTTTTTAAAGAATATTTTTTAAGCAACAGCCACAAGGCGTGGATTTTTTAAAGAATATTTTTTAAGGTACCAACAGCCACAAGGCGTGGATTTTTTAAAGAATATTTTTTAAGGTACCAACAGCCACAAGGCGTGGATTTTTTAAAGAATATTTTTTAAGGTACCAACAGCCACAAGGCGTGGATTTTTTAAAGAATATTTTTTAAGGTACCAACAGCCACAAGGCGTGGATTTTTTAAAGAATATTTTTTAAGGTACCAACAGCCACAAGGCGTGGATTTTTTAAAGAATATTTTTTAAGGTACCAACAGCCACAAGGCGTGGATTTTTTAAAGAATATTTTTTAAGGTACCAACAGCCACAAGGCGTGGATTTTTTAAAGAATATTTTTTAAGGTACCAACAGCCACAAGGCGTGGATTTTTTAAAGAATATTTTTTAAGGTACCAACAGCCACAAGGCGTGGATTTTTTAAAGAATATTTTTTAAGGTACCAACAGCCACAAGGCGTGGATTTTTTAAAGAATATTTTTTAAGGTACCAACAGCCACAAGGCGTGGATTTTTTAAAGAATATTTTTTAAGGTACCAACAGCCACAAGGCGTGGATTTTTTAAAGAATATTTTTTAAGGTACCAACAGCCACAAGGCGTGGATTTTTTAAAGAATATTTTTTAAGGTACCAACAGCCACAAGGCGTGGATTTTTTAAAGAATATTTTTTAAGGTACCAACAGCCACAAGGCGTGGATTTTTTAAAGAATATTTTTAAGGGTCTTAAACAAGTGGTGGATGCCTAAAAAATTTTTCTCAGGGACTCATTCCAGGCTTGGATGCCTAAAGCAATTTTTTCAGGGCCTCATTCTAGGCTTGGATGCCTAAGCAATTTTTTCAGGGACTCATTCTAGGCTTGGATGCCTAAAGCAATTTTTTCAGGGACTCATTCTAGGCTTGGATGCCTAAAGTAATTTTTTCAGGGACTCATTCTAGGATGCCTTGGATGCCTACAATATTTTGTTCAGGAACTCATTCTTGTTCAGGAACTCATTCTAAAGTAATTTTTTCAGGGACCCATTCTAGGCTTGGATGTCTATACAAGGCGTGGATGCCTAAAATAATGTTTTCAGGGACTCTGCCCTGATGCCTATACAAGGCGTGGATGCCTTGTACAGGCATCAGGGGCCGATAAAAGGCCTAAACATTTTTTGTAATTTTTTCAGGAGCCCATACAAGGCATGAATATTTTTGTCAGAGACCCATACAAGTCTTGAATTCATAAAATAAGTTTTTCATGGACCCATACAAAGCGAGGATATTTTTTATAATTTTATCAAGTACCCATACAAGGTGAGGATATTTTTTAAAATTTTTTTCTGGGAACCATACAAGGCATACATATTTCTATAATCTTTTCATGCTTTCCCTATTGTTGTCGTAATATTAAAGCCATTAAAAGTACTCTCAAACACCCATCCCGCCAATGAGATGTATCCTCTATCAATACCAACACCAATTGCTATTAATAGCTCCTCACATTTTGTTTTTATTACCCCAATTTGTTATGGCCAAACACCCTATTTAATTGTCGTTGCTGTTGTTGTTCTTGTTTTTTTTTCAGATAAACCATATTGGTTCGATAACAGTACATCGCTGCTACAATATGCCTACATCGGTGGCGTTAAAAATATTTCATGCGAAGCTATGGGTGAACCGCCACCATCATTTGCCTGGCTACACAATGGCCAGTCGATACGTGGCAGCAACTATCGTGTCTTCTACGGTGACTACAGTTCAACGCTGCAGATCCATGTGCTGAACGATACGCATTTAGGCGATTACAAGTGCAAGGTGGCCAACCCGCTGGGTACACTGGAACGTGTCATTAAGCTGAGCAAAGGACAGAAACCGGCCGGGCCGTCACGTTTTCAATTGAAACGAACATTTACCGATGGCTTTGAGCTGGACATACGTTCGGTGAAGTATAGCAATGTCGATGATAACATGAACACACTGGGCTATCGGGTCGAGTATATGAGTGATAGTGAGCTGAAATTTAGTGCGGGTAATTGGAGCTATGCCAAACGAAGAGATTTTCTCTTTCATCGAGGTAGGTAGCAAGCAAAAAACAAAAAAATGATGGTTTTTTTATGGTATTAGTCAGCATGTACTTTGTATTGTATCACTGTTAATATCTCTTCTCTTTCCCCTCTCATTATCTTCCCTCTCGTCTCATTTAGATGGCCGCCGCTTTGTCATTTCCGGCTTAAAGTCCAACACCACATATCTAATGCGTGCCGCCTCACGCAATCTGGCCGGCCTCAGCGATTGGAGTGCGGTGAAAATATTCGCCACCTTGGAAAATCTCGCCAGTCATACGGTGACATTTGTCATCCGCCATCTCGTCATCGTTGTCGCCATCGGTTCCCTGGCGAACGCTGTGCTGAGACATTTTTAATTTCCGTTTCCGTTAACTTGTCAATTTATCATCGTTTTACGCTTAGGTTGATGATTACGCGCTGCTGCCTTTTATTTCTTCAAGTCGTCTTCTATCGTCGTTAATAATCGCCGATGTAATAACCGATGAAGCTTAGCTTTTTTAAAAAATAGAAAAAAACACAAAACGTAACTAAACCAAACAAAAAATGGAAATACAATGTGAACAAAATATGAAAAATTAATGGAAATTGTACGAAAAAGTAAAACCCATTGAAAGAAAAAATGATAAATGATTCATTTTTTTAACGAACGAAGCGAACACAAAAGAGATCCTGAAAAATAGTTAAAATTTTTTTGATAGAATAATTTTTTATATATATGTATATGTCATTCATGTTGCATTTGTTATATGTTGTAGGTTAAATATTTTTATTCTCGATTCACATAGAAGCGGAGGAAAAGAAGTGGTGAATTTAAGTTCAGGTTGGAGGAAAAATATTTTAATTTGGCAATTGGCTGAGTTCGGTTTGAAAATATAGATAACGATCTTGGTCTCAGATCTGTTTTTACCGAAAAAAGTAAGCCGCATGTAATTTGCTTCACTTTTTTTCTCTGATTTTTTTCTATAGAAAAAGTGAGCACAATTGGTCCAAGATTTCTTTCTATAGGAAAAAAATGAGTCCCATGAGGGTATCCTAGAATGTGTGGTCTCTATATAAATAACACATCCCATTTTTAGGTGTACCGGTCCTCGGTTTTAGGTCACATATTTTCACACCGAAGTGGCTATTATTAAAATTCTGAATTCATAGAGGGTGACATTCATATTGGTCCATGTTCTGACCTAGCCCTCATATTAAAGTCCAGTCCTGCTTTCATTATTTTACAAACAAAATGGTTTTAATTTGGGACAAATAGTGTTGTAACCAGTGAGCGGAGCAGTATAGTCGGACGGGGCCGACCATACGATACCCTACACAACTACCACGGAACTCAAATTTTCTGCGGATTTTTATTCCAAACCTGGGCAATATTTAGTGATATTTGCACCCTCTTGTCCGATAGGAGGAAAACAGCACCTCTTCCTCACACTGACATATTTTCCGAATATTACGAGTATTCAGTACAGCTATTGTCCAGATTCTCTTCACTTTGGGTTGTGTTGTGATGTTCGCCTTTCATTTGTGGTCTTTAGATCGACCCGAAAATAACACAAAAAATTAAGTTTTCGGTCCACTTCATTCCAAAAGTATTATCTGATCATCACCAAATATTATAGGCGTTGTCCTTGACCATAGTTGGAACCTCATGGAGCATTTCAAATTATATATAAATAAAACCTAATTCGGGACCTCTATATAGAAGATGTATTCAAAAATAGTGGACGTATTTATTTAATTAACTGGCTCTAGACAGAACATTTGTTCCATAAACCAAACTTAAAAAAGATTTTGGTCTTGTGCGAAGTTTTTCCACGTTTTTCCAAGTTTTTTTTTCCACTTGATCTTTCCATCAGATTCGTGGACTTCCCTCTGCGTATAATATCACTTGGCTCACTTTTATATGGCTTTTGAACTGGGGCATCCGGTATCCATTAGCACAACATTGCCTAGCCACCGTAACCACTGCAGCTCGATAGGTCCGACTATGTGGATGTCCGGGTATAGATGGTATAATTCGCGGTTCAGTGTAACATACATCTATGTAAAAAATGTTCTACATTGGTCCAAATTTTAACCCATATTAAGATCCCGCCCTATTATAAGTCACATTTTTGGTATTCTAAAAAGTTTTTATTCGTATTTTTCGAAGTGGATTGCTATTATATTGAAAATATTTACCGTCGATGGCCCGAAAATCTTTCGAATAATTTTTCTCTCCACACTCCAAGAGCTGCCTCCTCTGCTTGCCCAAGTACCCAAACACCAGTACGGATAGTATCGACGTCTTGTAGACTGCGAGTTTGGTCTGAAGGGAGGTGGCCTTGTTCCTAAATTTCTTATGTTGGTCTATTCTATTCTTCTCTGAATTTCAAAACTTATGGCGGTCCCGGCGTATATAAAATCTTTGACTACCTCTAAGCTGCAGTTATCAAGTTCCACAGTTGGTCCAAGTCTACTGGATGTCTTGCGCGTTGAAACCATAAACTTGTTCTTCCCTTCATTTATTGTCAGATCCACTTTGGCAGACTCGTTCTCAATTTGTGCAAAGGTGGCTGTTACCGCTTCCAATGTTCGACCCATTTTGGCTATGTCATCGACGTAGGTGAGTAGCATGTGTTGTTAATTCTGTTCACCTTTGCCTCTCGTAACACATTTTCCAGCACGATGCTGAAAAGGTCAAGAGAGAAGCTGTCACCTTGTCTGAAGCTTCGTTCGGTATTGAAGGGCTCCGAGAGGTAATTTCGGACGTTAACTGCTAACCGTGTGTCAGTTTAAGTTATCATGCATATCCGCATTAATTTTGCAGAAATGCTGAACGCAGATATGGCTTTAAACACATCTAAACGGATAGGACTATCGAATGAGGCTTTATAGTCGACGAATAGGTAAAAATTTTTGTTACGTTTTTCATGGGTCGTTTCCAGGATTTGGCACAGTCTGAAAATATGAAATATGGTGGACTTGCAAGGTCTGAAGCCGATATGGTATTGATACGTTCCAATAATGTCGACATGGGCTTCAGCACGCTGGGCCTTTCATACCCAGCGTTCTGTGTGAACGAGACATATGGGAATGTGACTAATTCGTCTATAGTTGGCACATATCGTCTTATCTCCCTTTTTTGTGCGCGGGACTCGCGATGCTGAGGTTCCCATCATTGGGCATGCATTCTAGCCAAATTGCACTAATACTCCTGTCTTTAATAATTATGACTGGTAACCCATCGGCACCTGTTGCTATTCTGACCTCATCTTGGCTAGGTGGTATACAATCTATACCGTCATTTCTTATTGGTTCTGGGGTACTTTCTCATCGTCGCTATTTGATACCAGAAAATTTGCAAAATGATCCATGCAGATCCTCCATCTTCTTCATCTCTACAGGAGCTTGTGACAGCACCAGAGCCTTCGGTTTGGAGTTTTACTCGTTGATAAAATATTCGATATTCGCTACTCGGATCGATCGAACGTCTAAAACAATAAATGAATGGCTCCCGTCCATCACATCATGATAAATTTGATTTCTCGTTGTTTAATTGGGAGACATCCAGGTGGACTTGTGTATATCGAAATGCTTGAACCTGGTACTGTTAACTACCATGTCAGGGACGTACCCCCCCCCCCCCCCAAAATGAATTTTTTTCACAGTAAATTTATGTTTGCTACAGCGAATTTTTTCATTTTGTACTACCGGGCCCCCCCGAAATGAAATCCTGTGTACGTTGCTGTACCATGTCAATCAACCTCATGCCGTTGTCGGATGTTTCTTCATGGAGGCTGCATTTTCCGACGGTGGGATCAAAAATATTTTCCCTTCCGATTTTCGAGTTAACATCTCCTAGCAGAATTTTAATGTCATGGCCAGAGTAGCACTCAGCGCTGTTTCTGGCTCCTCGTAAAATATGTTTTTGGTCTGCTCATCTTTGTCTTAAGACTGATATACGTATACGTATTATAGCAATTCGCTAATCTACTGGAGTGAACCATAAACCCGCCAAATTCATGTCTCATTTCATGGCAGCTATAAAACAGTGAGTAATCGTCTGATTTACTTACGCCTGTCCCTTTCCAGCGCATTTCCTGTAAGGCAATAATATCTGCTTTGTACTTCTTGAATACATCCGCCAATACGAGAACTGCGACTGTGTTCTACTCCGTGACAAGTGCAGATTCGAAGATCGTGGTCCTTTATACGTTTGCGGGGGTCGTTAACATTGGGGGGTTTCTTTTCGTTGCTTTTTCATAGTAGGAGGGGTTTTCCGAGTGTGGGCAACCCATTTTTTTATAGTTCCTATGGGTGAACGCGGCACATATCAGCTCACTATTTCAACGGATGATGAAAGTAGCTACCCCAAGTGACACCGCGGGGAGGTCAGTGTACTTTGTCTTAAATATTGCGACTACCATAGTGATTTCAAAAGACGAGGGGCATAATCGGCATAGAATTTTATTCTGATTAAGATTTCATATACTCTATGAGGTCTTCGAAGAATCTTCTGAAGTTTTGCAAGTGGAATGACAAATTTAATATACACGAAGCAGAATCGTTCTATGTACCCGATTTACTATATCTTTGTTTACATATCTTTAATTATGGTATATCGCTTCCCATATCCCGAAATGATTGTTCGACGTTTTTATTGCCCACTGCCAGTCTCGGCAGTACAACAGTACTTTTTCAAAGAAAATTTAATACTCATTAAAAGCTCTGAGAATTTCAGCCCATACTGAGCAGCTAGAGGTTTCGAATGGTGAGTGAATTCCCACAAAATGAAACAGGTAGTTCCACATTTTCTAAACGAAGTGGTACCACTTTGTAAAAGGTAAACGCATTTTTATACCCTACACAACTATGTTGTCAGGGTATTATAGCTTTGTGCAGCCCCAAGAGTTTGTAACACCGCGAAATATTGATCCTAGACCCACCTTTAAGTATACCGATCGTCATATCTCGACTAGCTGAGTCGATCTAGACATATGTGTCCGTCCGTCCGTCTGTCCATTATAATTTTTAAATAAATTTTGCACAGTTATGGACCAATCTGGCCAATGAAGACCCCTATTGGTTTTTGGTAAAAATCGGTTAATATTTAGGTGATGAAATGGACCAATTACTAAATTTTTGTCGGTTTTTCTGGTCGCTCCAGAGACCGCAATTATGGCCCGAACATCGTGAAATTTTACATGGAGAAGGGGATCGGGCCAAAGAATAAACATGCCTGATTTGGTAAAGATCGGTCAATATTTTGCGGGTCAAATGGACCCTGACTTTTGTGTGAAAAATGACAAAATTTGGATTCTATGCCGTATATATTTACTCCTAAAGGACATAGACCCGAGAAGTTGATAGTATATTGAAGAGGAGTGGCTGACCTTCGATTTGGAATTTTCCATGGGGTTCCAGTTATGGCCAAGGACA